CAAACATACCCAGAATCATGTTAAACACCAGGAGAGAGAGCCATATAAACTTCTTCTTTAAGATCCTCATTCAAGAATGTATTTTTAACATCAAGTTGAGAGATATGCCACTGACGAACCGAAGCAACTGCAATAAGAGTACGAATAGTAGTCATTTTTGTAACAAGAGCAAATGTCTCCTCATAATCCATATCATACTGTTGAGAGTACCCTTTTGCAACCAACCTAACTTTGTATCGCTCAACAGATTCATCAAAATTGGTCTTAATCTTATACACTCAACGACAATCAACAACACTCTTACCAGGAGGTAGAGGAACCAAATTCCAAGTACCTATCTTATGCAAAGCAGAAAGTTCTTTATCCATAGCTTGCTGCCAAAGAGAGTCAAGAATTGCCTCTTTATAGGAAAATGACTCAGAGAGATAATTAATAGAAGCTAAAAAGGAAGTAAAAGATGAAGAATAACAAGAATAAGTAAAATCTGATAACTTTGTAGACTTACGAATACGTGTGGATTGACGTAAAGGTGGATCCACAATCTCAGACGGAGCTTGAGGGATCATAGGAGAGGAGGTAGCTTCAGGTGTGCTAGAGAGTAAAGTGTCAGTACCTGTAGAATGATTAGTGCTAGTATTTGAAGTACAAGAAACTTAAGATGACAAACTATCAGAATCCTCAGAAAAATGATCTATACGAATAAGATCAGATCTAGTCAAGCTATAAGTAGTGGATGAAATAGAAAAGAAAAGTATATGCTCAAGAAAAATAACATGACGAGACACATAAAATTTTTGAGTTATTGGATCAAAACAACGATACTCCTTTTTACCTTCACCATAACCAAGAAAAACAAAAATAGCAGATCGAGATGACAGCTTGTTGCATTCAACATGAGAACGAAGAACGAAACAAGTACAACCAAAAACTCTAAATGAAGAATAATCAGGGGCATACCCATACAACTTTTCGAAAAAAGAAACACCTGAAATATGAGAATATGAAATTGTATTAACAAAACCTACAGCAGTAAGAACAGCTTCACCCCAAAACTCATTAGGAACAGAAGAAGACAACAAGAGAGAACGAGTTGTTTCAACAAAATGTTTATGTTTTCTTTCAGCAACACCATTTTGCTCAAGAGTATCTGTACACGAAGTCTGGTGAATAGTTCCATCTAAGGCAAGAAATTCATCAAATTTATTAGAAGTGTATTTCCCACCCAAATCACACCTAAAACATTTGATAACAGCAAAATATTGAGTTTTGACAAGAGCTCGAAAGACTGTATATATCTCAAAGAATTTAGAACGATGTTTCATTAAATAAATTCAACAATAATGAGTATGATCATTAATAAAAAAACATAATATCGAGACCCTCTTTTTGTGGCAGCAGGAGAAGATCCTCATACATCAGAATGAATCAAATCAAATGGAGAAGAAGAAACAGAAATACTTCGATTAAAAGGTAAAGCTAAAAATTTTTTCAGTTTACATCCACTACAATCAGAAATATCACAAGTTTGCAAATTTCCTAAAGCCCCTGTGGATGTCCAAAATCTCAAATGAGAAGAAGAAACATGACCTAAACGAGAATGTCATAAATAAAAACTAGAAGAAGAAGGACTTAAACGAAAAAAAGATAAATCAACAGTAGTAGCAGCAGCAACTGGCACTTTTAATTCATCCAAAATATATAGTCCCCCCTTCCTACCGCCTGTCCTAATCAGCTTCTGAGACTGCAGATCCTACACATAACAAGAAGAAGAGGAAAAGGTGACTAAATTTCTAAAATCACATAACTGACTAATAGAAGCAAGATTTAATGTGAGTTTTGAAATATGATAAACATTAGGGAGAGACAAGTGAGGTATGACAACAGAACAAACACTTGTTAAAGCCATAGGAGTGCCATCAGCGGTCATAACAGGAATAGAAGATGAAGGAGATACAGAAATAAAAGATGAAGAATCTGATGTGAAGCACCAGAATCCAAGACTCATACAGAATGTGACATACCTGGAGAACTATGAGGCAACTGACCTTCTGAAGAAGAAGCAGACATAGCTTGTGGCTGTAATGAGAGAAACTTCTGAAATTGTTCAGCCAAAGTACTAGAATCAGTGAAAGGACCTGATGAAACTACTGCTGCAGTATTAGACTGTGGTGGTTTGTAACCCTAAGGTGGTCTAGGAGTATTAGATTGTGACTGGTTGTTAGACTTTTAAGCTTAAGATTGCTGCTGCGATTGATTTTGTTGTTTTAACTTAGGACATTGAGCCTTCCAATAACCTTTATGCTTACAGAAATTACACTCGTCGAAGGCAGGCCTTGTGTAAGACTTATTTTGATTATGAGAGAATGGTTTAGAAGGTATTGCTAGCACAGAAGGATCAGAAGTAGACAGAATTCCCTTGTCAGAATAAGACTTAAGAAGTATCTCTTCAACCAATAGCTTACTGACAACTGAGTCAACAGAAGGAAGTGGAGAACGATGCAAAATTAAACCTCTAAGTCCTTCAAAATCACTACGAAGTGCCATTAAAAATAGTACCAATCGTTGTTGCTCTCTACGAGCAATATAAGCACCATATGCCTTTAATTCAGCCGATTCTGTAAGAGCCAATTGATCCCAAAGATCTGTCATAACAGAATAAAACTCCTGAATACTCACATTTTTCTGATGAAGAACTCGTATGTCATGCTCCAATTGATACTGCTTTGCAAAATTTGATTGAGTGAATAACCTTTGCAGATGATCTCAAACCTTCTTTGCTGTCTCATACTTTGTCAACTGCGTATCTATAGAATGCTCAACAGAATTGTTGATCCAAATAATAATTTTTGTATTGTATGTTTCCCAAACATCTATCAAATTAGCATAACCCGCATCAGTATTCTTTGGTTTCACAGAAGTTCCACTAACATTTCCCCATAGCTTTTTACCCTTAAGAAAATTTCTCATCACATAACTCCAATACGAATAATTCTTTCCATCCAACCCCACACTCACAGACTGAAGCGAATCGTCTCTTGTAGTAGCCATAATCAACAAACAAAGAAAATCAGATTGTAAAAATGGAACAAATACCAGTTTGTAAAAATGAAACAAATACCAGATTGCAAAAAAAAAATGAAACAAATACCAAATTGCAAAAATGGAACAAATATCAGATTGCTTAAACGGAACAAATACCAGTTGGATCCGCGTAAACTGTGTTTGAGATTAAGTCTTGTCCCATTAAACTTTGTTTTGATACCATGTTGAACAATCTAAATAAATACAAGAGATAAGAAAAGAGGAGGCTAGAGTTTTATTAATACTTCATAATTCAATTGAATACAAGGAAATAATTTGACCTAAAAATAAAGAGACTATATATAAGCTAAACAAGGCAGGGAAGTAAATGATTATTCTACCCTTTAAAAAAAATAACTCTATATTTCTTAACAATAATAAATTATATCAGTAAATTAGATCAATAAATTAGATCTAAATAATATTAATCCCCAAAAATATACATTTAATACCAGTAGCAGGGACATGGAGAAGACCCAAAAAAAAAATGTCAACGAAAGTAGTATGGAAACCTCGCAGGTACCAAAAACCTTAATAAAGTTTTTGGTATTTTAACCTTACTATCTTGGTAAGTTGGCAGATTTTGCCTCAAAGAATTATTTTAAATTAAAATTACTAATTATACTAAAAATAGTGTTTTACCTTGTTTTGAATAGATAACGCAAGAATCCCCCGACCGAGCTCCTTTGAACCCGCGATCGATAGGTTACTTAAGCGGGAGTCATCCCAAGGAACCATTTCATTGAACCCTTGAACAGTAAGGAGGACTTGTTTCTCGTCCAATAAAATTTTGGCGCATGTAAAAATTTTAAAATGTATATTATTATATTATTAGTTATTGTCTGTACCTGAAGGTACATAGTAATAAAAAATAAAAAATAATAAATATATTTGTATTTATATCCAAAATTAAATCATAAATATAGAGAAGAAATATAAGAATTTAAGTATCGATTTGTAGTGGAGGTGAGAGGTGGTGGGCAATAGTGGTGGTGATAGGAGACAATGATAGTTATAGTGGGTGTCAATGACCGTGGTGCGGATGGTAGCGACGATGGTTAGTGGTGGAGGCAATGGTGGCAGTGGCGGTGATGGTGGAAGTGGTAGTGACGGTGGTGAAGGTGGCAGCAGTAGTGATGGGGGTGGGTGTGGGGGTGGCAATGGCGACAACAATGGTGAGGGTGGGGGTGGGGGCAATGGGCGGCAATGGGGGTGATGGTAATGGTGATGATGGTGGTTGTGGTGGTGACAACGACAGCGATGGTGGTGGTGATAGTGGCAGCGACGGTGGTAGTGGTGGCGACAACAGCGATGGTGATGGGGGTGGTGGTAGTAGTGGCAGCAGCGATGGGGGTGAGGGTGGTAGTGGCAACGAAAGTGGTAGTGGCAGTGACGGGCGGAGGCCGTGGTGGTGGTTGTAGAGGTAGTGGTGGTGTAGTTTCAAACACTATTTTTTTAAAGTATTTATCAGAAATAATTTTTAAAAATATTTTTAAAAAGTCACTTCAAATATACTCTTAAGGCTCTATTTTTCGTATTAAATTTAGAGTGTTAATATTAACTGTTAGATTAACTTTAAAGTAAAATTTAAAACGATCTCAATTACAAATAATAAAAATTATTTTATTTATGCTTAAAATTTGAATTATAAGTTAATTTATTATATAAATATTTATATATAATTTAATAGCAATCAGACCAAAACCTAGGCTTATGAACTTGGGAGTGAGAGAGGGAAATGCTGGAAATGAATCCCCACCACCCCTTTCTTTTCCTTCTCCCACCTTCACGTGATTCTGAATATGCCTGCAGGACGCTTATGTCACGTCCTGGTCACCCTTGTCCACTACCCACTTCACTCTCTCTCCTCCTCTGTTCTTGTGAAAACTTCACAGGAATACTAGATGGATAGGTAATGTAGAACCTGCTGAGAGGAGAGGAGAGGAGAGGAAAAAAGAAAACTAAATACCCCAATCAGAGAGAGCTTAGGTCAATCAACTATCATTCTATCAAGTTCATTATCCTCTCTCTTTGTTCAGTGTCAGACGAGATGAATACCCAGTTGCTTCAAATTGCGATTACTCTCTTCTCTATCCTTAACTTTGATTCAGCTTCATCTTCTACAAATTTATTACTAACGTCTGATGCTTCAGCTCTGTTAGCATTCAAATCCAAAGCCGATTTGGGCGACAAACTTCGATTCTCTCCAAACACCAGCTTCGATTTCTGCAAATGGCAAGGTGTAAAATGCGTCCAAAGCAAAGTGGTCCGGGTCGTCCTCGAAGGCTTCAGTCTTGGTGGCATTTTCAGTCCCGACACTTTGACTCGTCTCGACCAGCTACGAGTCCTGAGTTTGCAGAACAACTCGCTCACCGGTCCAATCCCTGATCTATCCGGACTCCTCAACCTCAAAGCCCTATTTCTCGACCAAAACTCGTTTGCCTGTGCAATCCCACCTTCGGTTTCAAACCTCCATCGTCTACGAACCCTCGATCTCTCTCATAACAACCTCAGTGGTTCCATACCACCGTCTTTGATCAGTTTAGACCGGTTATACTATCTCCGATTAGACTCCAACCGGTTCAACGGTTCGATGCCTCCACTCAACCAGTCCTCTCTCCAAATCCTCAATGTTTCCAGAAACAATTTAACTGGTGCCATTCCGATTACCACTACTTTACTCCGTTTTCACTCTTCGTCCTTTTCAGGGAACCCTGGCCTCTGCGGTGAGATTATACAGGAAGAATGCCGCCCAATAGAACCCTTTTTTGGCCCTTCAACTATTTCACCGCCGCCGCCGCCAACATCGGTGGTGCTTGGCCAGAATAAGCAGTTTCAAAGTGTTGAGTTGACGCCGCCGAGACCAAGAAAACACACAAGAACTGCCATGATAATCGGCTTCTCAACCGGAACTTTGATCATAATCGGTTCCATTGTCTGCCTTGTTATGGCTAGAAAGAAATGCAAAATCTCAAAGGTCACAAATCCAGCGATGGCTTCGGATTCCACTGCCACCGCTAATGCGGCGGCGCTGATGAGAATGGAAGAAGACAACGAGTTGGAGGAGAAGGTGAAGAAAGTACAAGAGGATATGCAAATGCAACTGAGGAAGAGCGGGAATTTAGTGTTCTGTGCGGGTGAGTCACAGGTTTATACGCTGGAGCAGCTAATGAGAGCTTCTGCTGAGCTGCTCGGAAGAGGGACAATTGGGACGACTTACAGGGCGGTGCTTGACAACCATTTGATCGTCTGTGTGAAGAGATTAGAAGCCGGAAAACTCGCCGGAACCGGCAGAGAGGAGTTCGAGCGGCACATGGAATCAGTGGGTGGACTCAGACATCCGAATTTGGTTCCACTCAGGGCATATTTTCAGGCGAAGGATGAGAGGCTTTTGGTGTATGATTACCAGCCCAATGGCAGTCTCTTCTCTCTAATTCACGGTAACCATTAACCCAACTAAACTCTTATATTCTCTTCCCTGCTGCTATGTGGGGATTGATAAACCCTCTTGTTATTTCAAGGAGCAGGAGAGTTAAAAGAGTTATAAATTTACAAGTTTTAACTTTGAATCTTGAATCTCGACAATATTTTAGAGTCAGATTGCGAGGATGACAATTTTTTAGAGTTAAATTACGAAAGATTTATCTTTCATGAATATTTTAGTTAGTGATTTAATTAAAGTAAGTTGAAAATTTTAAATTTAATTTATCAAATTGAACTAGAGAAAAAGTTGATTCAAATTCATGTCCGCATTTTCCCTGTACAGCGGGGGATGTTATTTTCAAGATGACGCCATTTTATACATAAAATAATATTATTTTATCTGTAAAACAATTTTGTTTTCAATAACAACACTTCGTTCAGGTAAATTGGATTCAGTTTAGAAAACATTTAATCCTCAAATTATTTCTTGCAAGAACAACAATCTCGCAGCTGACTACGTTGGGAATCGACGTATCAATTTTGTCTGTCGGGTTACGATATGGGGTGGGGTCCTCTTACTCTGATTGCTTTACTTTATCGCAGAATCACCGTCGACGTTTGCGGTGAGAGGATAGACAGGTCTGATGGGGGGCATCATACGTGGCATTTAAAACTATATATCTCTTTTATTTTGACTTTGTCAAAGTTTCCACGTGTGCGTGCAGGTTCAAAATCAGCAAGAGCAAAGCCACTTCACTGGACTTCATGCTTGAAAATAGCAGAGGACGTAGCACAAGGTCTCTCTTACATCCACCAAGCATGGAGGCTTGTCCATGGCAATCTCAAGTCCTCCAACGTCCTCCTCGGCTCCGATTTCGAGGCCTGCCTCACCGACTACTGCCTCTCCGTCTTAGCCACCTCTTTCTCCTCCGATGACCACCCTGATTCCGCCGCCTACAAAGCCCCTGAAACTCGAAAATCCAGCCACCATGCAACCTCCAAGTCCGACGTGTACTCATTTGGTGTTCTACTGCTTGAGCTTTTAACTGGAAAGCTTCCGTCAGAACACCCATTTTTAATGCCCGATGACATGATCAACTGGGTTAGATCGAGTAGGGAAGATGATGCAGGCGGGGATGAGGAGCGGCTAAGTATGATTCTTGAGGTGGCTATAGCGTGCAGTGCGGTGTCGCCTGAGCATAGACCAACCATGTGGCAAGTGGTGAAGATGATACAGGAGATTAAAGAGGCAGTTTTAATGGAGGATAATTGAATTGGACCACTTACAAGGACATTCCAGCAGCCAGGTAGTCCCTGTTTGTTTGTTTGTTTGTTTGTTGTACTATTATACAGATGAGTACTAATGCAGTGTAAAATGATACAGCAGGAAAACAAGGCAGGGCCACTTCTTTTGCCTTTTGTTCAATTATTTTTTTTGTAGCCTTTGTAGTGAGTGAGTGAGTGAGTTGTTGCAGTGATGTACATAGTTTAATGTTTGGTTTTGGTGTTGCATTGTGGTGAATCTGGTGATAGGTGTAGCCGGTGTAGATTATGGACGGAAATTTAATTATATATATAAGATACATTTCAACACAAATAATTAATTTTTTATTTATTTTTCTTTTAATTTTGATGAGTTGTTGGAAGGAAAGTTTATTCATTCATTTTTTCATCTATCTTATTTTTTTTCCTTATTAAACATGATATTTATCTATCCTTCCAATTTTTCATCATTCTATTTTTTCACCGTACCAAACATTGTATTAGAGTAATGTTATTGGTAGGGGTGTCAAATGTATTAAGTTAAACGGTTATGTGTTGGATTAAATAGGATACGAGTGAAAAATAAGTAAATCTATACACGATACGTTTAATAAATAGGTAAAAAATTTCAACATAAAATAAATAAATCACACGACACAACTCATTTAACTCGTTTAATTTTAAATGAATTGTGTTGGATAAGATTGGGTTAACACGGTAACTACCCGTTGAACCATTTAAGTCCTATTTGTTTAAAAATGTTATATAACTTTATAAAACTAACAAATTAACATAAAAAATGTGATATTTAGGGTGAGTATAGTAACCTTTTTGTTTTTATGTTTTTTTTTGTGATAAAAATTAAAAATATAAAACATGTTGGATAGTCACCACCCAACACCACCAACAACCACCCAATTCACCACCCAACGCCACCCAGAAATATAAAATATATTTGATATTATACTAAAAATTTACCACCCAACACCACCTAACAGCCAACCACCGGCTACCACCAAACACCCACCACCACCGAAAACCACCCCCACAACTCCTTTTCAATACTTAGCAACCCCTGAAATTCACCACCCCCACCCCGAAACTCACCACCACCAAAATTCACCCTCATCACCACCCCTTAAAATTCACCCCAATCAGTTGAAGCTCACATCCACCAACCCATCCCCATCACCTGAAATCCATAGCCACCTAACCTACCCCTATCCCCGAAATCCACAACCACCTAACCCACCCTTATCCTCAAAACCCACCACCACCCAAACCCATCACCACCAACCTTACCACCACTAGCAAAACTCACCACCACTCTCCAAAATCCATCATCACCACCAAAATAGAGAAAGTTGAGAAAGAGAGCGAGAGTGACACAAGGAGAGGGAGGAGATGACGTCTGGATCCTTTGATGGCGTTTGGATCCTTCTACTCCAGCTTTGTCTTCGTCTTTGTTTTTGTCTTCGTCTTCGTCTTCGTGGCTTCAGCTTTGTCTTCGTCTTCATGGCTTCAGCTTTGTCTTTAGCAGAAAAGGACGACAGAGATATGAGAAATGAAAGAGAGAGAGATGGCCTTTTATATACTAAAACTAAAAAAATCATATTTTGTTGCTAAGGAGGATCGAAGCCTAGACCTCATTAAATTCCTTTGAGACTCGCGTGTTTATTTATTTATTTATTTTTGATGTTTTCAAAAACATCCTTTTGGATGTTTTCATATTTTAATTTTATTTTTAAAACAGAGCAATTAAAAAAAAAATAAAAAACATTCAACAAATATGTTTTTATTTTTTTTTTGCTATAAAATGAAAACAAAAACAAAAAAAACAAAAGCACAAGGTTACCAAACACTACCTTAGAGATACCACACCATATTACAATAGTACAAATAACAATACAAAACAACTAAATTCCACCAATAACAATATTACAAACCACAAATATAATTCGAAACAACCAAATTACAATCATTTTACAAACCACAATCTCAAATAATCAAATTACACCAAAGAAATACAAAATCAAACTCCACCAAATCCCATGAAAGAGAGCAAATCTCCACCTTCACGACAACGAACAAATTCAACAATCAAATTCTCATGCCCTACACAAATCGAAATGAAATATTATATAACATTAATTATTAAATAGACTTATAACTAGATAAGTAACAAAAACTTAGCATTACAAATTATAGATTTCAATAACTCTTTAGTCATGATCAAAGATAGATATATAATTAGAACATTGAACAGATTTAACTTTATTAGACTTCATATTTTGATTAAAAACATCGTCATTTATTACTCCTTCCAAATCATCTACAACTAAACATAACAAAATATGAATGAATCATTAATCACGCGAATTAGAACAATGAAAAAAATAATACCAGTAAAGATGGACAAATTGATACTCTCCTTAGGCATATTGATATTGTCATAAGCATATTTGAATATTGTTTTAATACCCTCATATTTGACAAATCAAAATGGTAAATCATACTTAAGAATTGCCTCAACCGCTAACCCATGAAACTTTTTAAAATTAATTTTTGAGGATTGCATTAGCATAGATCTTTGACTTTGAGCTAGAAGTAATTGTCTCATATCTCCATGTCTTTTTTCATATATTTTTTCATATGAGTATGCATGTTACCATTCTTATGAGTAGATTCGCATATATATATATATATATATATATATATATATATATATATATATATATATATATATATATATATATATATATATATATATATATATATATATATATACCAAAATAGAGCGGAAGCAGAAAGCAGAAATGAATGGGAAATTGAAATGTAAAATAAACAATAATAATTACACACAAGTATATTTACAATACTTACTGGACTAGCACTAGATGGGCTAGCCTACTAAGACTGATACAAGTGTGGGGAATAGTAGCATCTCATACTTGGAGCTTACAATCAGCACAGTATCTGTTTGTAAACAAGGAAAATAAAAATGAGTGAATTCTCCAGAGAGAAAAATCTTGTTCTTCTTCTTCTGTCTGATCTCCTCATATAGAGAGTGGGAGGAGTGAGGTCTTCATTGCAATGATCAAGGCTTTTGCAAAGTAAGCAGACAAAGGAAAGGGTAAAGGACAAAAGTCTCTGCTTTCGGTGATAAAGTAGAAGTGAATTACTTTTACTAAGGGAAAAGCAATCCTGATGGTCAAAAGGCTATCACTAGAGGGGACAGCCTCAGGATATAGCCATGTGACGGCCTTATCGTTACATGTGATGGGCAGCTTTTCTGTCCTATTGGGGAGACAGTAGTGATTGAAGCCATCACAAGTAAAGAAAAGAATCACGGGCTAGCTAAATCTGCAGCATCTAGGTCATCATACCCTTCATACGGATCTTGGGCAAATGGGCTCATGGGTGGAGCTACTGATCCGGAAGATGATGCTGGGGATGATCCAGAGTTGCTTGCAGCTTGGGCTTGCTGGATTAGTTCCTGGGCCATTGCAAGCAATTGGGCCGCTGTTGGAGCTTGCTTTGTAGAGTCCTTAGAGGAGGATCTCTTTGGTTTTGACTTGGTCGAACTCTCAGCAACAATCTGTTCTTTTTTAACAGGAGGTGATGCTGAGACCTTGAGTGTTGGCATGGGATTTTTTGAAGGAGTAACGGGAGGCAAGGGTTTTGGAGCCACTTGTGGGGCTGGAACCTTGACTGGATAATCCTTCTGAATAGCCTCGAGAATAGTCTGATATTGGTACCTTGGCCACCATTTCACAGAATATTGTCTGCAAATATGATGATCAATAATTCTCCATTGCCACCTGCAAATCCAAGATATTTTGTACCTGCAGAAAAAGGTTAGTAAAATAGGAATGGGGAATGCTGACTGCTGTTTACTAGGAGTAAATGCAGAGGAGAAGATAAGGAATTGATCATGAAGATCACTGGGAAGAATTTCAATGACGGGGCCATGAACCTGCCACCACCTTACAAACCAGGAGGGAATCTGGCTTTTGAAATTCTTATCAAATTGAATGAACCAGGAGTGATCTTGAGAAGCACTCTGGTAGAGGATAAGTTTAGTCCATGACTCAATGTAGTCATAATAACTAAACTTAATATTATGTCCAGGAAGTTCTCGGAGGGTAGAAGGGTGAGAACCCCAATCTTTAATGGACATAATGTTCTTAATAAATAGGGAATGGTAGATAGCTACACTAGGGTCCTTTTTATCAGGAATTCCTTTGATAAAAATAGACTGGGTGAAGAAAAGGATATCTTGGTGAAATACAAAAGTTTTTTCAGGATGGGAAGGAACAAAGGTCCATCCTTCTCCAAGATAGGCATTGACCAAATCCAATGTATTGGTTAAATGAGCATGGATTGGTTCAATAGCAAATATGTTTATGACTGGGTTTTTGTTGGTATAATCTGTCGATGGGCCTTTGGGTAGTGGGCCTGATCGATAGAATGGATCAACAAGAAGGCTGGTTGTTGGTGGCACTTGCTGGGCCATTTGGGAAAAGGTCTTTGGATTTACTAGAGTAGGCTGAATAGGTCGGCTTAATGGGCCAACTGGTCTACCAAGAGGTGTAAACCTGTTAGCAATGGTCAAGGCACTAGAATGGCCAGGAGCATTAGCTGAAGCATAGGCAGAATAGGTCGGCTTAGGTAATAATGCCAAAGAAGGTGGGTCTTCTTCCTTTTTTACTGAGGCAATTGCTTGGGCCAACATTTGGTTAAGTGTATCCTTGCCTGTTCCCCCCTGTTTTTTGGAGGAGGACGAGGGTTTAGGAGTTTTTTTGTCCGCCATTGGGTTCCTGCAGAAATTCACGAGTTAGGAAATCAGGGATGCAGTTATTACTGCCCTTAATATATTCTATGTCAAAATCAAAAATACTTAAAATGGATTGCCATCTGGCAAAAATTTGTTTACTAGCAATATTTTGGACATCTTTTTGTAAAACATCTTTAGCAGATTTGCAATCAACTCTGATGAGAAATTTCTGATTTAATATATCATCCTGGAATTTTGAGACACACAGGATAATAGATAAGAGTTCTTTTTTAATGGTAGAATAATTTATTTGAGTGGTGTTCCAAATACCAGAATGGAAACGAACAATTTATTCAGGAGAAGTAGGAGATTCTTTCTGAAGCAAAATACCACCATAACCAATGTTAGAGGCATCAGTTTGAATGATCTTGAAAGAATTGATGGAGGGAATTCCAAGGCAAGGCAAGGTTTTGATATATTTTTTGACTTGCTGGACAATAGAAGTATGTTCAGGTGTCC